TCTCTCTCTCTCTCTCTCTCTCTCTCTCTCTCTCTCTCTCTCTCTCTCTCTCTCTCTCTCATGATTTTATGCTTTGTTACATTTACTAGGTATTCTCTTGATACATGGGTTCTTTGAAAAAAATGAAAACTTTCAGCACACAAACTTAGCATCCTTTGATTGAAATGACTACCTGTAATGTGAAATAAATGTAATATGCAGTAGCCTTTCCTAGCCTAGTGGTCTCCAGATATGGATGTGAATTCTTGAAGTTTCAGTTCCAATGCTTCAAAACCCGTTGTCTTTGGAATACTACCAAAAGGAAATATATAATTCTAGAGGGCTGCAACAAAAGAAGGAATGGTGAACCACTGAGTTTCTCCTATAATAACCAGAGGAGACTGTACATGACTGGCTTCATCCTATTAGGGACTCTTGAGACATATATAACTAGATGTTATTCTATGGGATTCCAATCCTCTATGGGAAATTAAACTCACAGACAATACACTATGAACTATATACAATGCACTAGCTTTAGGATCTACCTTGTTTCTGACACTTAGTGGTGCTGTAGGAAGGGATAAATAGCATCTATCAAAATGGTATATACAGTACACCTTCCTTTCAGCTCACAGAGAGGTGAGTTTTACTTCTAGTAACCTTGAGTTTATACAGATAATTGCTAAAACGATTCTCCCATTTTGTTACATTTTATGCTCAAGTGAAAGTTGAGAAACATTTTGCAATAGTACTGAAATTAATTGAGCACAATTCATTTGCATTCAGATCCCTGGGAAAGATTTAAAATATGATCAGGAATGCAAACATTATTATTGTTTTATGAGTCTGTTGCAGTCTTTTGGAAATAATTCTCATCTAATTGGATTGTAGAAGAAGAACTACAATCAGAAAATAATTTATTTTCCCATAGACATGTAATCTTGAAATTCTTTTGGAATACTAAAATCAAATCCTCAAAGATGCAATAAATTTATTTCCTATAGTTTTCTGTCAAGTGTGGTAGCACACTTTCCATCTCTTGGAAAGGTATGGATAAAAGAGCATAAAATATCTTGCATAACTGGAAAAATGCATAATTGTAATCTAGGAATGAAATCCATCAAGCAAAAATATGTAAGTAATTTAATATATTTATCAGTGTAGTAATCCCTTGCTCAATTTCTTATTTTCCTTATATAAACACCACTGGAATATTTCTCAAATCCTTAAAATCCTACAGATATGTTGCAGATTAATTAAATAAAGATAGGCAATCCCCCAATCACTTTGGGGATTATGGTTATAGATCTAGCAGAAAAATGTCCTTATCATACAAATCATACCTGGTTTGATTTAGAACTCAGGGATAATATTTAGATGGGTGTAATAGTAGTGATTAGCATAGAAACAACATTATTACTATTTCTTTGAGAAATCTTTTACTTGTTCCATTGATGTCCATAATATTTTTAAGCAGTTGACATATTTAAAACACATTTAGTGAGCTTATAAATTGTTGATTGCAATGCATATTGAATCATAATTCAATACTGAGAGTTTAAAAAAAAAGAATACAACTCACTGAGTTGGATAGCAGACATTTATACATACTGGGGTATGATTTAGAAAACATTTTGGATAGAAAATTGAGAGTAGATTCTTGATTA